AAAAGCAGCTGAAAGTGCGAGTGAATCATGCAATTGCCAGATGTCCTTATCCGAGGACACAAGCACAAGCCAAACGGGAGGAGGTTAGATTTTGGATGGGCTGGAACTTGATTCCTCGGTGGACAGTTAACGGAAACTGGAGACCCATATCCGCCCATCAGAAATGGAGGCGCTGACAACTTGTGTTTGCAGTATCGTTTAGCACCTGTAGACCTCGGAATCTTTCTCCATTTCGTCCTGATAGTGATACATCATCTTCGAGGTCCCCTAATTGCTCACATTACACTCCATCTCTCTTTTCCCACAGCTGACATTTGCACTTCGAACCCGGCACAAAAGACCAATAAGTCGATTTACCCAAACGAGAATAGAGGATTTCCAAATCCCGAACCCAAATCTTTTCAAAAAACAAACACATGTTGCTAAAAAAGTATCTCTTACCAAAAGGAGAATAGGAAAACCTTACCTTACCTGTTTTTTATTCACATGTCGAACTCATCCCTCACCCTCGATAAAGGAATATCGATCCATTGAAAATATTTGCCAAATGGTTCTCCGGGTCTTTTCCATTTTTGTTTCGGTTTTTTTTTTTTTTTTTTTTTTTGCAACCCTCTATGAGGTGGTGGTGGTGGTTTGCTTTCCGCACCCACCCCGAATTCCAATTTTGGGTAGTTTCGGATTCGATTTTTTGCCTCGTTTTTAAGGAGTGTTTTTTGTGTGATCTTTTTATTGGTGGTAATCGCATTTTTTGCGTGAAATTTCCTCAATTTCGATTGTGCAATAGGCGTTGCTTTGACTTTTTGGCTACGTTTTGATTGGTTTTGATGGCTCGATTAGGGAGGGTTCCCCTTGGTTTTTTTTGGGGGAAATCGTTTAACAAATAAAATACATTATTGTATCTGTAATTTATAAAAATTCGTACATATATTCATTTTCATATATGTAGTTATAAGTATCAATTTGTTTAGTCAGTTAGAAAATTAATAAAGAGGTATTTAGAGGGGCTCTTTTCCTTTTTAATTAAAGTGTTCCCCAGATTGTATCTTTTATTTTACCCTTCCGGGGTTTTGGACTCTCCCAGGCATCTATGATTTCACTGTTGACTCGACGGCATCTGGTGGATGTGGTCCGAGGACAAACAGAAAGTAAAGGCTGCTGGAAGAGTACGAAATCGGGAATTCAATCGAGACTGTGCATTGTTTGTAGCAAACTGACCAAACGAATCCAGCGGCTGGACTTTGTGTAGTGCAAATATGGGATGTAGGATATGGGACAGAGGGTAGAGGACTCTCAGGACACGCGTAGCGTATCTGTGCAACCCCCACACTCGGGTTGAGATACAAAAATACTACAGATACGTTCGCAGGACGAGGCACACGCTGTTGTCAACTTCCTTTTTTCGGTCTCTCCTCATAACGGATGCTGGACATTATCGATGGAGTGGAATGGGAATGGGAATGGGACTCCGAATGGCAGTGGCATTGCTTTTGGGAAGCCAGAGTCCGCTTGCATATATTTTTAACCTTTTGTTGTTTTTCGTTAACTAAAGTGCCATCAGGGGCAGATGTTTTTTCCATCGCAGTCGGAGTTTTTCTCCTACGATTCCGCTTTTTTCCATTTCCATCCATTTACATGTGGAGTGGACACGATGGACGCATTCTGTTTGCCGAACTGTAAAAATTGTTTTGTTACTTTCGCCGCTTTCTCTCCGCGAGTTTCCTTAGTTATCCGCTTTGTTTATTTCCCTGCGGACTGGTGGCTCCTTCATGGATCTCCGTTCCTGAATAGATACTGTACCGTATACCCCACCACCATCAACATCATCATTATCTTATAGGTTTTTCATGCATGGCTTTAATTCTCTACAGTTTTGCATATTCACAAACTGATGCGCTGCAATTAGTTTTGGTTTTTGCCTTTGAATCGCATTTGGAGTTTTGCGGTTGAGTGGAATGGTTGTCCACTGGGATGATTAACTATCGTGGTGGGCATACATAATGCCAGTTGAATGGCTATTTAAGTTGTATGGGGGGTTCTATACGTTTCATTCAAATGCATTCTTGAATACAAGAAAAGGGATGGCATTCAATCATTTATTGTTTAAGGCTGCTTAAATGCATTGAAGTACGGAGAAATTCTTAAAACTGAAACTTTAAAATATTTAATAATAATATTTATAAGAATTTAATAACAGGGGAATATTATTTTGTGGCTTTATTAGCATTTTCCCTGGGAAACCGCCACTTTCCGCCACGCGTCTGGGAAAATCTATCATCGTAATTAACTGCGAGCACATAATTCTCCCGAATGCCAAAACTCAGATGGTCAGCACATCCTTAGCGCTTGTTAGCGGCGGCGTTGGCCACTTAAGGATTCGCCACGCCCACCTCAATCGCGCAGGACGACCGCTGGTCAGCTGTTGGACGAGGCGAAAGGATACTTTCCCTATTCTCCTCGGCTTCTCGATTCCAGCGAAATACTGTTTACAGAAATAAATTACTGAGGGGTTCAACAAATCCCTAATCCTTAAGGTGGCTGGCACATGACGTCACGCTTGAGTCGCCGAAAGGATCGCCGCTCATAATTAACCCACACAGCACACACAGATGCTGGCGAGGTCCCTTGATCCGGGTGCCTCCTCCTCCCCGATCCTCTGCCCCTGTCCACTTTCATAATTAAAATGCGTAAAGTTGTGGAAAAAAGGAGCCGGCCAGTTGCGGTAATTCTCCGTTGATCTTTCGATGTGGGCGCCGTCCTCAACTGATGCAATCAACAGCTCATCGAAGGATGAATTGAGGAAAGGGAGGGAGTGGAGGAGCGGGGTGGGTTGCTAATCATCGAATCCTGCATGTGGTGGCCACTGGCCACTGGCACCCCGGGTGCGTTTTAATCAACTAAACACCCACAACATGCTACCCCCCGAGTAATATATATTTTTGGGTGAGTGAAAACCCTTGTACAGCCCTTTCCCCGTTCGTCATTTGCTATTTTGGCTTTCTGTTATTTATTTTTAGTGCCAGCGCAGCTAAAAATGGCCACCGATTTGTGCACCGTTGGAACCAAACCATTTCCATTCCCAAAACACAGTCCGTAACCCACACCAAATCCGGAGTGCAACCCCATCCCAAAATGGCGAAGTCGGGGTGGTGGTTAAACATAAATACCCTATTTATGACGTTGCTTAGCCCTGTGGGATATATGGTATGCACGTTTGCCCGACTCGATATTATTTATATATACACCGAGAGAAAACTAAGGTTATGGCTAAGATAATAAGATCGAATATAGAATGTTATAAACAACCCATTGAAATAAAATGTTTTCAATCAAATCAAGATACTTTTTATATAATGCTCCGGAAAGCTATAATCCTTTATCATAATTAACCATAGTATTTAGTATTACTTATTCGTTTAACTATTTAATCGAATTATATAAAATTTATATACTAACGTGCTTTATTTAGTTTCATATATTTTCTCTGAGTGCAAACATTTTCTAGACTTTGCATTGGCTAATATTTGCCGATTGAAACGTGGGCCATGTTAAAAGCCCAAATTATGCGCAGTGAAAGCGTGCCACACGCGTGTCCTGCTGATCAATCAGAGAGCTGAGGAAATCAAAGGTGAGTCAATATCTGGAAAGAGAAAATAAGGACCAAAAGCAGCTGCACGAAACACAGAAGAGCAGACCCTAACAGGACCAAAATTACACCTTTCAAATGGTCAGCAGACGGGCAATTGAACTATTTGAAGAACTCCCAGGTTACAAAGTGGCCAGGACTCTCCAGTCCTCCCCCGCCTACTCTCCCTGGGTTTTTTGTCTATTCCGCAAACAATGGACGGCAGCAGGACGAGAAAAAGATGCTACAAAGCCACAAGCTGAGATAAGAACCGAGGAACAAAACCAGAAACTAGGGGTCGTTAGCCAGGACGAGGACAATGAGCTCGGGAGTCCCTCGATAAACATCTTTCGCTTGCGGCGGCCACAAGCCAAGAGTTCATCCGGTACAATGGCCAAATTGCCAACTTAACTCCGCTCAAATGAGCAAGGATCTGAAGATCCTGAAGATCCTGGCTCTGGCTTTAATCTAAGGGGATATGCAAAATCTAATTTGCGATAAGATCAGGGGCTTTAAACCATCGTCTCCGGCCTGCGTTCACCCTTGACTCCTATCTGAATTAATTTCAGCCATAAATATCAATTATTGTGAAATTTTAATGAGGAAAAACGGCATTTAAACGAAATTTACATGGAAACAATATAAAGGGAAGTGCATTCTTTAATATCCGATATTCAACCACCAATCAGAAGCAGCCGCAAGAAAACTATTTTTGTAAAATTGAGTTTCCACTCAAGACCCAAAAACTAGGAGAATTTCCCTCCAAGCACGCGCCATTTGGCTGAAGTGCGTTCGACGCATGCGCGCCAACCCCAAAAATTTTGAAAAAAATCGATCCAAGTGATCCCCGATCCCCGATCCCTGAAGGAGACGCCTTGCTGCGTCATCTTCCTGCCACTCCCCCCAATTTTCCCAAGCGCGTGCTCATGAGTTTTTCATTATTATATAATTCCCCTCTCATATGCAATGCGAATTGTGCGTTTTCACGCAAAACGTCAATAATCCATCAAAATTCTCGGGATGGAATTATGAAAAGAGAAGGAGATTGTCCAATTTGTTTGGTTGCGCCCGCACACAACATTTTTTGTGTGTTTTTCCTTTTCATAATATATGAAGTAACAACTTGGGTATTTAGCACATGATGGAGCAGTTCTTCGCTTCAAAAGAAAAGTAATCTATTTCGTTTTCGAATTTCTTCAGTTACTTTTTTTGTGAGGGTGATCGAGATCGATGAATCATATGAAGGAGATCGCGTGTTGACAGTTTCGCTTGGTTATAAGTAGTCAAACATATGGTTTGTATTCCAATATGAGAAATTATTCTAGGGTTAGTTCTATTTCCAACATTATATTGCCCTTCCAAATTGAAATTCCCAAAGTTTTAATAATATCTTAATCTTTATTATGTAGTTACATAAAAACATTTCGTGGGCAAACCTTAAGCTAATTAAATTTACTTAAAAGGATTCATTCAAGGATTACACTGGGCGCTCATCGCTTAGTTTGTAAGGAGTAAATACTAATTTTGATCCGTTGCTCAGATTGCTTGCATCTTTGCTGCATTTTAAAAATCTCTAAATTTGTACTTCTTCTTTCGTCAGTTTCAGTTGCATCGAAAATATTGTCATTAGTGCCAAATGTTGCAAAATAAAAAGAAACCTTTCAAATTATAATGAATAAATTGTATTTATTTGATTTGATTCCGATCGATCGATTCGTTATTCGACTAACAAAATACTGAGAGAATGTCAGAGAAATAATTGAGCATTATGTGTGTACATATAGTAGGTTAAATAAGACTAAATATAGGTGTGTATGTTATAAACTATATTTATTAATTTGACTTTGGACTTGGTTGGTTGGTTTTTGTTTTGTTCGCTTGTTCAGCTTGACTCGACTTACAAATTAGTTTTAACTTAGGCTTACATTTCTCCATGCATTCATGATAGTTTTTAAACCGTATTCAGGGTTTTTAGTCGTTTTCGAAAATACAGGAGAGAGTTTTGGGTTTGTGAACAGATAGATAGAAAGGCGGCTACAGATCGATACAGTTAGGCTAGATATATAGTATAAACTTAGGTCTAGAATTAGCGGCTTATGTGGCTTATGTACAATTCTCGACAACAAAATAGTTATGTGAAATCCTATGCTACGAATATATACAATTTTGGACAACGATTAAGGTGATAATAGCGATAAATAATAATAACAATGGGCTGAGACTGAGACTTAGGACTTCGGGGACTTAGGAGTGGGCATTCCTGGCCATGTGGACGAAGAGGCCGACGGGTCCGTCGCACTTCTCGCCGCACATGTTGCACTTGAACACGTCGTCGCAGCTGTGGTAGCCCATGTGGATGGTGTACAGCACGGCGTCCTTGAAGAAGATATCACAGTACTTGCACTCGTAGATGGCTCCCGCCGCCGCCGGAGTTCCCGATGGAGGAGCAGCGGAGTTTGATCCCGCCGAGGTGGTACCATTGCTGCCGCTGCTGCTGCTGCTGCTGCTGTTGCTGCTGTTGCCGTTGCTCTGACTGTTGCTGCTGGCATTGGAGCTGTTGCCGGAGCTGGAGGCCGTGGAGCTGGCACTGGTGTTGGCCTGCGGCACATGGGCCGTCTCCATGGACTCATCCGCCGAGCTGGTTCCCGAGCAGTGCTCCTCGGGCATTGGCTTGCGTCCGGCAATTGGTGAGGATGCCGTGGGCATGTTGCCACTGGGCACCTTCAGCTGCTCCGGCGAGGTCATCGCCTCCGATCGGAGTTGGAGCAGGGTGTCCAGCTTGAGGACGCGTCCCTTGCGCCGCGAGGCGTTCGAGCTGCTCATCAGCGGCGTGGCCTCCTCCTCCACCTTGAGGTTCATGGCTAGCGGTAGTTGCTGCTGCTGCTGTTGCTGCTGCTCCTCCTCCTTGACGGGAGTGCCCTGCGAGAGATCCATGGCCGAGTCCACCGACTTGCGCTCGTACTCGTCGTCCTGCTCCTCCTCCTCGTTGTCACTCTGCTGCTGCTGGTTCTGCTGCTGCATCTGCTCCCGCATCCGCGGCGAGAGCTGGGCGAGAACGGCGGCCTGCTGCTGGGCGGCCAGCATCTGGAGGTTGAGGTTCCAGTACGGGAAGAAGGCCATGTTGCGGTTCTGCTGCAGCAGGCTGGCCAGCGGAGGCAGCAGGTTGGCGGGATTCGGAAGGCTGTTGGTCTGATCCACGCTGGCCACGCTCTTGGCTGGCGAAGCTGGCAGCGGGAGCACTGGAGAGGCTGCTCCGGGAGCCGAGTTGCTCTGCTGCACCAGTGGGAATCCCTGAAGGGCAGCACTCAGCTGGGAAGTGGCAGGCTGAACGGGCTGGGATTGCTGCTGTTGCGGTGCCACAGCTGCCACATTGGGCTTGCGGCTCCCGCTGCCACTTCCTCCGCCGGCGATGGGTCCTCCGTTCTTGCTCTTGGGACCACGACGCGTTCCATAGACATCGATGACCAGGGAGGGATTCGGAGTACCATCCTCATCGAGAACCATGCCGGGCTTGTGGCCGTACTTGCGCAGGTGCAGCTTGAAGCTGTGGCAGTACTTGGTGGCATAGTCGCAGTCGGCGCAGCGGTACTGGTAGACGGAGCTGTGCGACTTGCGGTGCGAGTTCAACATGGACTTGTTCACGCAGGTGTAGCTGCACTTGTCGCACTGGAAGGGCTTTTGGTTCTTGTGCTTGCGGATGTGGTACTCCAGGTGGTGCTTGAACTCCGTGACGAAGGGGCACTTGGGGCACTGCAGGATCTTGTCCGGCTTCATGTGGGTGCGGGTGTGGGCCCAGAAGTCCACCTTGGTGATGGCCACCACGCCGCAGGTCTTGCACTTGTAGTTCTTCATCTTGCCATGCGAGTTGTAGATGGGCATGCGGATGTTCGTGTCGTCGTCCTCCGACTCGGCCATGTACTTCATGTCCTCGCTGGAGTTGGACATCTGGTCGTGCTCCTTCTCCGGCTCCAGGTTCGACTGGCTGGACTTGGCCGGCGACTTGGGCGGCGTGACATCCATGGGCGGCGTCAGAGCTTGCAACTTCTCGCTGGTGGCGCTGCCCACTGGAACGGCGGAGGCAACTGTGGAGGCGGAAGTGGGCGTGGGCTGGGGGCTGGGTCGCAGGTTTCCACCATAAAAGTGCTGCATGGGATTGGGCAGACCCGGCGGCGTCAGCGGATTGAAGCCGCCCATCAGGTGGTGGTGGTGGTGGTGCTGCTGCTGGGCCGCTTGGAAGTGCTGCTGGTACTGCTGCTGCTGCAGCAACTGCTGCTGCAGATTGGCGTCGTAGTGCTGCAGGCTGTTCTGATCGTTCTGACTGGGCGATGGGGTCATGGCGCACAGGGTATCCATGGGCTGCTGCTGGTGCTGCTGCTGCTGCTGCTTGAGGAACTGTTCCAAGTGATTGGTCGAGGGAATGGGCGACTGGCGCGGACTGCTGGCCACGCTGTTCCCGTCCAGGTGGTGACCCGGCTCCTGTTTGATGTTCGCCGCGAACATGCTGCTGTACCAGGCGTTGTGCTGCTCGTAGTTGGCCGTGGCTGTCGTCTCCCAGTTCTGCATCTTGGCGGCGACTCTAGACGGCTGTAATGGGGGGAACAGAAAGTAGGGAAAGTGGGGTTAGTAAAGCTGCTCAATCACTGCGCCTGCGTCGCACTTTTTTTATTCTCTTTTCTTTTTTTGCTTTTTTCGCTTGTTTTTCCATTTGATTTTTCCTCTTTTTTTGCGTGTGCGGCACCACCCCTAACTGTTTGCCAGGGGTGGCTATGGCCACCCACCCCCCAAACAAAATTTGAGTGAGTGAATTCGGAACAAAATGGAGAAACCCGGGTGATGGCTACTATATCCTACCGTTTCGTGGCCGCTTCTTGTGTGATATTGTATCAAAGTGTATTCCAAATGTTTCGGGATTTTCGTAATGGATTTGCTGCGATGATGCTTATGCTGCTGCTGATGTTGTCGCTGTGGTAACAAACTCGTGACTGACTAAGCAATTGCAACAGGCATTGGCTTATATGCGAGCCAGGTAGACGGGCGCACGCGTCAAGGGATTAGACGGGAAGTCAGGTACAGGTCACCTCGGATCGAGGATCAGGGATCGCGGATTGCGGATTGCGCGCTTGATCCATTCTGGATTAGAGCAGAAATTGGTGCGAAATGCGAAAAGATGAAATTACGCGCACTTGGATTTGGATGATCCGGGAGCTTAGCGGATGGCCAGCTTAGCAGCGAGCTGCGAATTTTCCCTAGTTTTCCTGCGTGGATTAAGTCGCAGCAGAAGTAGGCAACAAAGGAGGCAGTTCCACGATTAACAATAAAAAGCAAAAAGGATTGCAGGATTTAACTAAATTAACGGATTGCACACACCTGCCGGGAATCTCTTTGTGCCAAACAAAATAAACTAAACTGTATGCAGTCCCATTTCATATTTCCTGATTACCTCGTGTTTTTAATATAACAAGAAAACTAAAAAGGAATAGAATTCAAAATTCTTCTAAATAGGTTTGTATAAGTACTTTGCTTTTTTAAATAATTCCTGATTTCATGAACACACAACACATTATTCCACTTTACTTTTTATATAATCCCCTCGCTTTTTTCCATCTGCATCTGAGTATTTTCGAAACAAAAACGTTTTCCTGGCAACAGCTTCCCGCTGGGAATTTCACTTTGATTTGCGTAGTTCTACAAATAATTCTCACATTAAAATTTTTTGTTGTGCTGCACTTGCCTATTTTTTGAATATTTCAATTTCCAATTTCACGCTGAAAAATGTGTGCAGTTGCTGCATTTTTGGGTAATTGTTTGTGCTTTTAAGTAAATATTATTAAAAACGCAAAACGCGAAAAGTGGCGACGGGGTTGTTGGATATTATTATCTGGCAACTAAAATATCTGCAATACTTAGGCATAATTGATGGTTCAGGAAACAGCAAGTGCACACAAAATGCAGCTTAGCATATTTATTTAATTTCGCTTTTGTGGATATTTGTAAAGAAAAAGCCAAAATTAATTGCCATGTGTGTGTGTGAGTGAGTGTGTTTCTATGAAAGAAACAAAGAGAATTTTTGCCTTTCGTCTGGGCTTTTTTGTGCCATGCCCAACAACAGCAACAAAGCCAAACTAAAGGCCAAGTGTAAAATTAATATTACGCCGGGCAGGGGCGTGGGGCAAGGGGGGAAATGGGGGATGGGGTTAGGGGGCTGGCCACAACGAGTGCAGCCAGGCAACCGAAACTGCAAAAGTAAACTAAACATGTGCTAGTCGTTTTTGACCCCCGCCCCGCCCTCCAAACACCCCCTTTTTACCCCTCTAAAAATATCATGAAAATGGCAAAAATGGAAAAATTCGCAAACGCAGAAAATGCGCCACAAAAAATGTTTTTGTTGAAAAATCCATGCAAAAAGCGAGCCAAGAGAAGGATATGCCAGAAGATATATACTCGTACACGAACATATCTATTCTTTTCTCTAGTATTTAACGTATATGCAGCCGACTGTTGTTGTTGTTGTTGGCTTAGAGCAACTTGTTGTTGGGCCTCCTGGTGAAATGCAATTTTTGGAGCTGCACTCGGAAAAGGGAGAAGTGCAGTTCTGCTGCTGAAGCGATTCAATGTCATTCGGGGTTTATAAATACATCCCGTATATTATGTGCATATTTATTTTTATGCGCCAAACAAAGCCCCATTTGTTTGATTTGTGCTCGGTTCTTTTTGTCAGAAAACATTAAATCTGTCGGCTGACAATCAGTTCTGCAGCGGAACGTCTAACTGTGCAAAAGATCTTGTGATGATGATGATGGGATCCTAAAAAAACACAGCCAGAGGCCGTCACATATTTATTATATTTGAAATGCATTTTGGCAAGTGCCAAACTATTTGCCATTAAAAAATTGCTACGTTGACTTTGAATTATAGTTCGATGTCTAAATTTAAATTATTAAAAAAGAAAAGTCGAAAATGCATTTGCCGAAAGAAGAGCGAAAAGAAATGCTAAAAATTGAGGGGGTTAGGAGGCAGGAAGGCGGAAAAAAAAAAACAACATGAAAGTCGACATGTAAACAAATAAAATTAGCTGTCAGGCGTAGAGGGGGGCGGGGCCAGAGGCGGGACTTTGGGGGGCTGGGGATATTCGCTGCAGTTCTGGGCAAAAACAGACAGCACGGGCAAAAAACAAGTTCACCCAAAGATCGGCCAAAAGCCAGACAGATTTTAAAATATTGTTTTAGAATTTTTGCAGCTTGCATTTTTAGCAAATGATTTACCACTCGGTGTGTGTGTGTGAGATCTCATGTTTGTGTTTCTAAGGTTAGACAGAAAAAGAAGCACTCGACCACAAACAACAAGTAAATGCAGAGGAACAAGAACTTTACGAAAGTTGGGGACTATGGATAAGGTGTAAAGAATTAAAGTGGAAAGAACTAAAGCTATTGAGATAGACTAACTCCCTTTGTACTCCGCTAAATGAGATATTTAAAACAATTTTGATATAATTAAAGCACATCAGTAAATAAAAAGAATTGGAAAATTACTATTCAAGATTTCTAAATCCTATTAAGAGTCAATAACAACTTTTATAACTTATAACCTCCAAAGCCTTGTATATATTCCTGGATGCCTCAACAAATCGCCATTTGCCCCCACAAAAGCGTTCCGAAAATCTTGTTTATTTGTTTATCCGCGGAAAGCTTTTGGGAATTTCTACCTGTATGTGTTTTTTAGGATTTATTGAAGGTCGAATGCACTGCGGGGGAAATATTGGAGTGCAAACCCCATTAACTTACCTTGGGGACGCTCCAGAGGAATTCTCCGCGAGAATTTGTAAATTGCGATTTCGGCCTCTCTCTCTTTCTCTCTCTCGCTGGACCGCGGCACGGTTACCGTTAAACCAACACGCACGGTGCGTGCGAGGGGAAGGGGCGATGTGGGGGCTCCTTGCTCTTCGTTTTTGTCTATTTTTTGGGCCTCGCTTTTTAGCTTGCTTTTTTGCTTTCTTTTTCGCGGAATTCGCGCATGTGCGGAAAATCGTCTTTGCCGAAAAAACAGACGTTTTTTGGGAAATACTTTCTTAATATATTTTTTTAAGCACAAACACGGAACAGTATTAAATGGCACTATTTATTTTGATAGCAGTTATGTCTCGTCCTTTGGTCTTGTGTCAATCTCGTTTGCGGATGCCTGCTGATGCTGGCGACTTTCGTTTTTGGGACTCGGAACACAAGTGACGAAACTCTTGCTCTGCGGGCTCTTCTAATAGCTACAAATCGGCTCCTCATAGTGCACTCGCCAAAAAGAACTCAAAGTTTGTCCACTCAAATCTCAATTGCAAAGCAAAAACAAATGCCAGAAGTGCAACAACACAAAGACGGGGGAGAGCCGTTACACGGAGAGCAAAGGAGAGAGCCAACGGGAGAAACTCACTCACAAACGGATGCTAGCTGTAAATCTGAGTGACTTTCCCCAACCCCAAAGACAGCATCCCCCGCTCTCTTCCACTCACTCGACCACTCTCTCTTCCTCGCGCTCTCTCGTTTTATCCTTTTGCATTTTCTGGCGATGCATTTTGGCCGATTGCAGCTGCCTTTTTGGCTCTTTGCCGTTTTTTGGCATCTCCGCTTCACTATTGATTATTGATTTCTGGCCGAAAAGAGAGGCGAAATATGGGGTGGGGAATGGGAGGGGGCCGCCTTCGCCAATTGTTTTTTGGGCAACTTTAAGCCCAGACACATTAACAACTTAGCCAACTGCAATTTGGGCGATGGAAAGTTTGGGTCGTGGAGATTCCTTGTTGCTTTAACACATTTCCGTTGTGGCGTGCGTGTTAACTTAATTTTGAAAAAGCTTTGCAACAATTAAGAATTTTAATTCCGAAGATTAGCATGGTGGTTTACCTTAAATAGGGATTTATAGTATTTTTAAATTAATCTAATACATATTTTCAAAACATATCGAGCGCCAAAATAAATTAATAGTAAAATGTAATGTAATTAGTTGTTTGATAAATAAGTTTTGGGATATGAAGGATCTAGAACCATAATTTAATAACTGAAAAAGGCTCGGTATCGGTATAAGGATTACCCATATAATAATTGGAGCTGCGTATTTTATTTTTGAATAAAGTGGAAATTTGAATACTGGCCGGGCTTAACTATATTTTGCGGGTGCAACGAAATTATAATAGTTGCAATCTAAATCGTTGCCAGTCGGAGTGGCTAAAAAAATATAAATGCAAATACATAATTAGGACGCAATTTTTGGGCTGCTCATTGAAATGATCCGAATGCGTGTATTTCGTATTCATTAAAATTGAAATATTTGGGAGAACGGGGAGTATTAGGGCGTTGTCCGGGGGTGGGGGAAATGTAAGAGCAATATTGACAAAACAAACGACATCCCAGAAAGCAAACAAAACGCCGCCGAATGCAAATTACACAAGTTGTTCTGGCAAATGCAGGGATATCAGGGCAGGACGACTGAGCGACTGGACAGGGGCAGGTAGTCCAAGGAACGACCTGCCATTGAAGTTGACATGGTCAACCGGATTACGAACGGCAACCGGACTTAGCGAAGAAAGGATTAAAGGACGCGAGGACTACCTGGTCCTGGACCTGGCCCCGCCCAGTTCATTAATCCGCGCATCCGAAGAAGTGCGACTCTAGTTCGCAGTTCGAGTGTGGTGATGTGGATTTAAAAGCGATTTAAAAGTTGGCCCGCTGCTGGGCATAATCCAACATTACGCAGTACCCAGGATCACGAGGGATCAGTGCCGCTGATCCGCAGGATCCAGTTAGTCCTCTGCGATTAGCGCTCGCTGATCGGCCCGATTAGCGCTGCTCGAGCGGGCGGGCGTGGATCCTTCACGATCCCTTCGTAGAGTTATGTAAAGTTGAAGAAGCTAAGGACATGAAAAATAACACACAGGAACCGTCACGCTTGACCTTTTAATTGGGAGCGAATTATGTACCTATCGGTGATCTGGGCAAACACAAACATGTTGATCATCATGATCGACTAATTGCCAAAAGTCCTGCCACGTATGCAAATGATCCTTAACCTTTGGCCTGCCGCCTTCTTGAGATATCCTTCGAGGGGAAGATCAACAGGGAGGATCCTCGCATCTCTATCTTCTCCCTCGTATGCAAATGTATCTATAAGGAGTTCATCGAAGCGTCTGGGATTTTGTGGTTGACCGATTCGCCCTCGAGCGAGGATCTCATTAGTATCTCTTTTTTGTGTTTTGATTTGGCGCACTCTTCCCCTGACCTTTGTCCTCCGGCCTGTTGAGATATCACCTTGAGTTCGTAAGCTGATTTCATGCTAAGGATGATTTGCCATTTTACTTGAGTTTTTTTCTCCTCGAGGGTTTCCTTTTTTTGGTCTTTGGCTTGTGTGGTTTTTGTTTGGTGGTTTAGCTCTTTGATCTTAAGTGCAAATTGGTTTTGCTACCCAATTACTTAGATTTCAGAGCTACTGTGCAGTAGATGGTGTTTGGAAAAACATTTCATACATAATGTTATAGAATGTGCAGTATTTTAACTTTTTAAATAACTTATAAAAAATATTGTACGCATTAAATTTTCTTTCCCGTTTTAATGGATCCTTGTAAAATCTGACTTGGCATTTTTTCTACCCATACAATTCGTGGTTTCATTTCAGCATTTAAGAACAATTCGTTCTCTCCTTAGGTAGCAAAAAACACTTGCAAATCTCAATTTCGTTTGCTGGCGAATTCTGCACACTTCAGAGTCATGTCTAGACCCTTATATCCCTAGCAAGATATGCCGCAGAAATTAGCATTTGGCATAAATCAGATGTGGAAAGTGCTCGCGACGTTACGCCCACGGAAAAAGGACGAAAGGAAGAGGAATGCCTGGGTGAGGGAAAATTCCGCCGAAATGTTATGGTAAACAGTATAGTTGAGGAGGACGGGCGTTCGCCCAACATCCGTAAATCCTTTTTTAGCACGAAAAACCGAAGGATTAAAAAAGGAAACTAGAGCAGAGGTCTGCTTGTCTGCGACTGGGCGAATAGTTGCTCTAATTTTCATTGTCCGCCTTAATGGTTACGCCGTAAAATTGGCTATGCGGCTAAAACAAAAGCGTGAAGGGCAACGGCAGGACATGGAGGACAATCGTCTGGTGAATTTCCAGCCGACACGCCACGAGATTTTATGGAGGCGACTCGCTTTGCATTTTGTTCCAAATACTTCGCTTCGGTCCTTCGGTTTGTTTTGGTCAGGTAAGACCTTCGATTAACAATGAAAATAGCTGGAAAATCGCGAGAAACTTCTAAAGATACACAGAGATACCATATTCAAAGTTCTAATGGTCATTAGGGAGGGTCGCTCTACATACAATTGTAGCACTAGGATCCTGGCCGAAACTTAAAAAACGTCGCAAAAAACTTACTTCCGTGTAAAGGATCCTTTTTTGTGTGTGGGCCATAAAATATTTAGTTTTTTATGGCCAACGCAGCGCAGGTAGATCGCTGCTGTTTTTTGTGCGCGACCCTAACCCTTTCACCATTAAGAAAAAATCGCATCCTGGCAGTGTCCTTGTGCGTTTCCTTCGAACGGTCGACGATTTGTGCGTTTTGCGTTTTCTCTCCTTTTTGTTTCCAACTAATGTTTCCTCCTTTGTGTTCTTTATGACGCCTCGGTTGTGTCTTTTTATGGTGTCCTTTGTCCTTTGAGCCCCGTTGCACGGCTAAATCCCTACTTCCTCAACCCTTTTGGCCAACGAGAAAGTTGGTTCGACGGGAACGGGTTAAGTGAAAACTCAATCGCACTTTTTACGAGCCGCGATCTTCCTGGAATCTTTTGGTCATTAGGCGAAAGGGTTAAGTTCGATTTTAGCTCCGGGTGGGTTTATAGGGAGTATTCAAATTGAAGTAAAGGGTTAAGCTATTCAACATTTTACTTTTACTGCTTGGAATTCACTCAAAAAACTTGTATGCAGAATATCCTACGCTTCAGTTTTATGGGAATGAACATAAAATGTTTAAAAAAACCCAAACATGTAGGACTTTTAAAGAATGTTTTTAAGTATTCAAAAAATATGACATATGTATTTTCATTAATCCTAATTTTTAACATAGATTATGCTGAAACTATTTTGAAAAGACAAAGCATTGAAAGCAAAATAACTTTAACAGACCGCTCATAAGTAACGGCCGTGAATAAAAATTCTTGAAAATCCCACAAATTATATTCGATCCTCCTGGCTGAACATTTGGCGCGATTACATTCGTAATTCGCTGGAAATTAAGGCCACTAAGTCGCCAGCGAAATGCATTCGGACATTGGGCAAATGTAAAAAGGATTTTTGAGTCCTGCGGCCATTGTGCATTGTTATTGTTGGCCGGCCGGAGGACCTAAAAACGAACCGAACCCAAATCCCGAGCTTAGGCCATCGGCATTGGGAAATAAGCGCCAAATATTCGCCCCTCCCCTCTCCATCCGTTGATGTTTAGCTATAGCTCACCCACCCCAGAGATCCTTGGACGCAGGACGATGTGCCGTCTAATCAGTCCGCATTTTCACACTTTCGTGACCCCTGCGGCGCTACAGATGCGGATCGGGGGTTGGCCCATGGCCATTGGTCAGGACGGGACAAAACAAAACAAAGTGAAGCAAGAATAAAATAAAATAAAAATAAAATTGGGAACGCGCGCCAGCGTCCTGTCCTGTGACCCCTTGTCAGCGTCAGGCGGAGGTTAAAATTAATGCGAATAGTGCGGATGGATGGATGTGCGGGGAAATTGCATCGATTCGGGGTCACGGCTAAGACGCCTCAAGGAGAGCTGCAAATCTATGCAATAATGCGAGGGCATAGGGGTGGCAGGGGTCAAATTTATGGGCCGACATTGAAAACTGGAACTGTAACAGTCGAGCGAAGGATTTTCGCAGCCCGGCTTGAATTTGCGCCTCATTGTTTTGCATGATTGAAAAATGGTTTCGATTCGAGAAGGAGCCGGGGTCGCCGGGTTAGAGCGATTTTAATTGACCATTCGGTGACCCTCATCCGGAACCGGGGTTACCGAGCTGACCTTTTTCCGTCTTCACATTCGCAAATGCCGAGCTGGTCTATTTAAATAATTTTTCATTGCCATCCAGGTTTGTTTTTATTGCAAATGGCATTTAATTGTTGACCCCTGAGTTTCCCACTCGACCAAACCGAAAATGTAACGTATTTTTCCTCATCGGCAGCTGGAAAACTCTGCTCTTCACT